GTGGTGCACGAACCGAGAAAGACAGTCAAATAGTCCTTGCCAACAAGACGGGGCCGAGGTGGTAGGGCGGAGCCGTGCTTCAAGACCTGTGATTAAGAAAGTACCTGAGAGACCCGAGGAGTTATTCTCGGGTAGATACTCTGACACTCAAGTTAGTAAAAGGTGATGAATGGTCGGATCGAGCAATAAGGGTGCTGGTCTGAGCAAAGTAACAGTATGGGTGCTAGAAGTTGGAATCCTTTACCTTGAGTGGGAGATACTTTTTTATAGCCGAAGGTCCGTGTCCTGGTCAGATTAGGCTTCCAGGGTTGCCGGGATGAGGTTAACCGCCGAGGTCTTTGGGATAGAGTCCTATTCCCCAATGGAGTTGTCCTCCTCCCTTCTCCTATCCTTGGTCGTGTTTATCCGCGTGACGTGTAGCTAACGTGGCTGAGAGGATAAGATGAGGGCTACGATAATAGCATAGAGCAACTACGACCGCGGAGTCGGTGTATGCCACGGAGTTGACCGGGCCACGTTGACGTGGTTGGGGATGACTGGGCGGCCACGTATCATCTAAGGCCAGCTTAACCATGACCCGAACACCACTCCCCCAGTTCTGAAGTCGAGGAATGAAGTGGTCGGATGAGGTGTAGCATGACAGGGTGCTTTGTTTCTCGACTGAGGAACTCCAAGTTGAAGTCCTGGTTGAGCATTTTGTCTGCTTTGTATTCCTCGACGCTTGATAGAACTTGTCATCCGCGTAATGTGGGTTGTGGCCGAGGAGTTCTTTGATCGTCGGCTACGGAACTTCGAGAATTCTAATTTTGGAATCCAAACACTACTCCCTCAGTTCTGGAGTCAAGGAGAGGAGTGCTTGGTCGAGGCATTGCATGGTCGTTTACCATGGTCCGGTGTCGAGTAACTAAGCTGGGCTTCGAAGTTTGGGCTCCTTTGATGCTTGGCTATGCTGCGTCGCGGAAGGGCTTTTTGTTCTTTGGCTGAGGAACTTGCACTCGAAATTTTGGAATCCGAACACCACTCCCCTAGTTTCGAAGTCGAAGAGTGGAGTGCTCAGTTGGGATGCAACATGGGCTCTTTTGGTCGGGGTTCGTCGTTGGGTGTCTTGAGGAGACTCAAGGGGTTGGTTGGACCAGCAGTCTTGGGCAGACCATGGAGGTCTATAGATTTGGTTGGACCGGCATTTCAGGGCGGACCGATGTAGTTAAAGCCTTTACGTTGCTTGTTAAGAACGTCGCTTCGGTTCCCAAGGTCTCACGCGTGCGGTGACAGTCATGTCGATTGGTCTTGCTGAGCTTCGTTAGAGCGACGCTTGATCTCCACTATTGATTTGACTTCTATTTGCGCTTTTAGGGGTTATAAGAAGGGGAGGAAGGGCATTTCTCCTTTGCCATTTGCGAGAGGAATTGTTTAGATAGCTCAACAAGGAGTTGTTGGCATTGCTCGGCTCTTGCTTGATTCCGTGGCTTCAAGTTCGGTAAGACGTCTTCCCCGTTTTCTTATTCCTCTTCTTCTTCTAGTTCTTCTTCCAGTTCTTGTGGCTCCAATATGAGTCTGAGGTCAGGGAATTTGAGGCTGCCGAGGTTGGTCCTTCTAGAGTGGAGGTAGAACTTCTTGCACTGGCTATTCGTCGATTTGGACCACCCCCTGCATTTTGACTCCCGGGGATATGGCTCGGATCCGGGCCATGCATGATATCCCCGAGGAGTTCGGTATGAGGTGTCCACAGGCCGGCGAGAGGCCAACAAATGCTTGGTCGGGCGAGGTATAAGTGTACAAGAGCAGCTTGGAAGCAGGGCTAAGGTTTCCCTTGGATGAAGGGGTAGCCGGGGTGTTTGAATGGTACTGGGTGTTGCCAATTGAAGCTTATGTCATACTGGGTGTTGCTAGTTGAAGCAGGGCTAAGGTTTCTCTTTTAGATTTTTGTTCGGCCTTATATCGTATTGCACCGTTCGCGACATCGAGTTAACCCTGTGCATGGTGAGCTATCTCCTCCAGTTGAAGCTTCACCAGTAGGGCTACTATTATTTCTCGGCTAGGAAGAGCATCAGAGTGTTGGTCGGGGCCCCATCCTCCGTGAAGCATTGGAAGGAGGAGTTCTTATTTGTACACTGTCCTGGGGGCCTACCTTTCCCGGCCACATTGCAAAAGTCGATGACTAAGGTGCAGCAGCCCAAGTGGCATAGGCTTACCAGGGAGGAGAGGTCGGGCCTGAGCATGATCCGTGAGATAGATGTGGTGGTGTACACATGCTCTGAGATGTTGATGCTCGCCAGATTGATGCGTAGAGTGGCCGGTCTGTCATGTTGCTTCGGTTTATCTGTCGAATCCTTCTCTCTTTGAACCTATATTTACTCAGTTATGATTTTGCGGTGCAGGTGCGGAAATGGCAAGCGAGGAAGAGATTGTCCATCGAAAGAAGGAAAACTAGTTGAGGCGAAGGGGGGGTGTGCGGTCCCAACCCCGTCCGAAGGTGGTCCCACCGCTGAGGTCTTCCGAGAGAGCATCCTGTCAACATAGAGGGCTCGGCAACGGGGTGATGATGAAGACGTGGTAGTGGGGGAACTGAAAGTTTATCAGGCTATCGTTCCTCCTCCGCGGATGGAAGTGGGGGGCAATAGCTCTGCCTACCACGGTCTGTCACGAAGACGGGCTCAAGACGGTTGGGGTGCCCGAGTAGCTTCTCCGTGGAATCATGACGACATCCATTACCCGGGAAGCCGGGGAAACTAGAAGCGGTTTCTTCATGGTGAAATCATTTCTTGGCCGTAGAACACGTGCTCGATAATTGCTCTGGTGGACCGCCTTCGGAATCTACGGGGCATGTACAAGAGAGCACTCTGAATACTTGAACCTGAAGGCTCAACTGGTCGAGCTTCGGGCAGTTGGGGAGCGGACAACCGCGCTAGAAGCAGAGGTGGCTAAGCTGAAGGTCCAGATAGGCGAGCAGGCGAATGTCGTTTGTAGCTTGAAGCAATAGATCACCAAGTTGAAGGCAGAGAGAGAACGACTGAAGTAGGAGGCCGCCGAAGCGGTGGTGACTCAGTTCAAGAGCTTGGTTTAATACTGGCAAGAGATGGATGAGTACGCCTCGAGCTCCTATAAGGCGGGGTTCAACGCCTTCCGGAGGAGGGCGCTGCATCACTGTCCGGAGCTGGCTGACGTTGCGCTGGCTTGGCGTGCGTATGATGATGAGACCTCGCTCGCCTCGGACAACCTTGTTGCTGATGAGGGCGATGTGGATGAAGATGGGGAGGAAGGAAAAGCAGCTCCAAATCCCCCCACCGAGGATTGAGTTGCTGCGAGATTTCTTATATTTTTCTATTGTTGTTTTCTTTTTGTAGTAGCTCGGTATGCCAAGCTTGGAATCATGTATCGACAGAGTTAACATAATGAAAATGTGCCCTTTTTGTTCCGAACTTGCATACCACTCGTCTCTTTCTTCTTCTCTTTTTTTTTTCTTTGCCATTTGGGTTCCTCGATCTTGTCGTGACCGAGGTCTAGAGTTGGCCAAGATCTTTAGTCTCCGGTTAGTGGGGCCGGAGTATGTTTTGAGCTCTCATCTTCGGGATGCTCAGTTACTGGTCTCGGGAGATTTTCGGCTCTTTGAGGGATGGCCATTGCTCAGCTAGCTCTATTTTGACTGTTAGTAAGTGGGTGTGTGGAGTTTAACGACCACCTTCAAGCCCCGATGGGCGGGGACGTTCTTCTCCACTTTAGGCTCGGGCCGTGGACAGTCGAGACAGTTTGCTTGGTCGGTGATACGCTGCCGAGCTACGCGTCACAGGCTCATGCCATTCAAAGATCAGCCGAGTCAGTGTTGTGTGCTGAGCTAAGCGTGTGTTGTGTGGCGAGTGTTGCACGGCCTGTGATGTGTGGCGTGCATGATGTGTGATGCGCGGCGTGCATGATGGGAGAACAATTAAACTGTTCATCCGGATGATAGTTCACCTGCTAATGTTTTTAAACCCTAACTAGGGTTTGACTATAATACCACAAAAACTTACAACTAATCAACCAGATTCGGCTGTGTGATAACCTCTTTTATTATACCAGTTGATTGGCTGCAAGTCTTTCCGGTATCTAAGCTAACTTAATTAATATAAAGATGACAATGGTAGAAACCACGATCTAAGCTAATTCTTTCTTTTTCTTTACTTTAATAACACAAACACACAGAGATAAAGGAGATTTCAATATCTTCGAGCATCTAGTATGTATGTGCGGGTTCAACTATCAAATGGGATAAAATTTTCTCAAATTAGATTCAACAAAAGAATTGCACAAAATGGCAATACAGGCAGATTTTTATCCATTCTTATAGTTTGAGTTGTAGATTCTATAACAGGAGACAAATATTAAACAAAAAAAAAGGCTAGAGGGAGAGAGAACGAAGGGGATGGAAAGACGAAGAGAGAGGCTAAACGTGGATGGATCCGCCACTGCTATGGTGCGGCGGCGGTGATGAAACAAGGGCGAGAGGGAGAGAAAACGAAGGGGATGGAGAGAGAGGTCAGATGTGGAGGGGTTCGTTGCTTTGCAGCAGTGGCGGTGATGAAACAAGGGCAAGAGAGTGAGAGAGAAAGAGAGAGAGGTCATACGTGGAAGGGTCTTCCATCGCAACCACTACAACTTGCTGCAGTGGCGGTGATAAAACAGGGGCGAGATGAAAAGAGAACGAAGGGGACGGGGAGAGAGAGAGAGGCCAATATTGTAATGCATCTATTCAAAGCTCTCTCCTCAGATATGCATTTGTTCAAAGATCCTCCATACCTGCCCACCTCATCTCAGATGAAGGAACCCAGATCTGAACTGGGCAGTGAAGACAAACCAAAGAAGATGAAGAAGAATAAGAGGAGCTTTCAATTTGACATAAGGGTAAAACGGGCATTTCAATCCTTATATTAACGGTAATGGTAATTTTCCGAAATAATAATGATATTATAAGACAATAATGAAATAATAGGGGTATAAAACGATAAAGGTAGTTTAAAAAAATTGCCCAAAAAGAATTCCCCACTTTCTTCGGAAACAAGAAAAAGAGTCGGATGTTATAAATACTCGATCCAGCGCTCAGATCTCCTACATTGTTCATTGATTTCTCTTCTCTCGCCAGTCTCATCCTCATTGAATCTCGAAAATGAGTAACCAAGCTGAATCCTCTGACTCGTAATGACCTCCTACTCTGACCTCTACTTGTTTTCGCGATCGATTCGTCCCTTCCCCCTTTTTATTTCGTTATTTCGTTATTTTTTAGTTTTTTTTTTTTTTTGGATTTTGGTTGAATTTATCGGGTTCTGATTGTGGGTTTTTTGATTTGCAGTAAGGGAACCAAGAGGGATTTCAGTACTGCAATCCTGGAGCGTAAGAAATCTCCGAATCGGCTTATCGTCGATGAAGCAGTCAATGATGACAATTCGGTGGTCTCTTTGAATCCCGAGACAATGGAAAAGTTACAGCTTTTCCGTGGAGATACAATTCTCCTTAAGGTAAAATTTCTATCGAGCGTTCTGTTTTGTTTTGGTTCTTATAGAAGGTTGGGTTCTTTGTTGGTAGAAGTTTGGATTCGGAAGTTTATATCATCTTGTTAAGGTTGAGAATGGTTAATGAGGGATAACGTGATTTTATGTTAGGGCATTCAAAAAACTAGGGCTACTTGGATTCGGCAGTTCTACCAGATTGGGTTGTGCTCGCCAAGGTTGATTATAGGGGTTCATTGGGGTGAGATATTCTACCGGATTGGGTTGTGCTCGAGAAAGTTGATTATAGGGGTTCGTAGGGGGTGAGATATTGGCCTATGTATTGTGGTGGAATCATGTATAGTTCTTAAGATCTATGGTGAAGGAGTTTCTTTTAGGGTTTTCGGAAATTTCTATTAATTCTTTGTTCTCGCCCTCTGATTCTGTTAGTTTTGACATCATGGAAACCTATAAAAGATGACATCATGGAAGGGTTTCAAAGCAGTGAGGTCTTTGCATCTTCAAATGTAACGTCTTTCAATAGTCACATTGTAGGTTTCCAGAATTCTTTTGGCATTTAGTTGGTCTGGACAAAACACCTGTACCTAAAAGTTAAAGATTTTCAGCATAATAGTCTATAGATATGGTAGTCCAGCTCTGTTAGGGATGGTGAGCTTTCTTTCAATTTAGCTTCAGGAATGTGGGATTGAGAATCATGGTAATTAGCTGTGTATTTGTTTGTTTATGTTTTTAGGGTAAGAAAAGACGGGATACAATCTGCATTGCCCTTGCTGATGACACATGTGAGGAACCAAAGATCAGGATGAATAAAGTTGTTAGGTCAAACCTGAGAGTCAGGCTCGGTGATGTTGTTTCTGTGCACCAATGCCCTGATGTCAAATATGGGAAGCGTGTGCACATACTGCCTGTGGATGATACCATCGAAGGCGTCACTGGAAATCTGTTTGATGCATATCTGAAGCGTGAGTTTCTGAACTGCTAGCAAAATAACTGTWTTTTCTTCCTGTTCTCTTGAGTGCATGTCATTTACCTGCTTTTATTTGTCTTACCTGTGACTATGAAATTCTAGACACATTTACATTTTTCTAATAGAATCATGCTTATGAGAAGCTTCTTTTATGCCTAGTTTGACAAAAGAACTAGATTTGTAAGACTTTTGAGGGATGTGTAGTTTAACTACAAGGTAGTTTTTGCAGTGAACTATTTTAGTAATCTCTCCTGTTCTGGGCATGCATTACGTACAATGTGCATGCACATGTGATTTTTCTAGTGCGATGTTAAATTGACTCTCTATCAGGAAATTTTATCATATTTGATTTTGAACAGAACTTCTATTTGAAAGCAGATAATTTAGTTTCTTGCTATCCCTGATTATTATATTAGATATTGACAGTCATAAAGAAAAGTTGTTGATAGGAAGCCTTTCTCTTCTTAACCATTTTAGTGCTTAGTCCGTCTGCCTGTCTTTCTTGAGAAAAACCAGAAACATGAAGCTCCTGTCATGTTCTGCTTTGTCACAAAGAAAAAAAAAGGATTTTTCTGGTTAACTTGGTTCTTCAAAGTGAAAAAGAAAGTTTATTTTCTCTTCTGATTTGAGTGATTACATTTGCAGCTTATTTCTTGGAAGCATATCGTCCGGTCAGGAAAGGGGATCTCTTCCTTGTTAGAGGTGGAATGAGGAGTGTTGAATTTAAGGTTATTGAGACTGACCCAGCAGAGTATTGTGTGGTTGCTCCAGACACAGAGATCTTTTGTGAGGGAGAGCCAGTAAGGAGGGAGGATGAAGATAGGTTGGATGAAGTAGGTTATGATGATGTTGGTGGAGTCAGAAAGCAGATGGCTCAAATACGAGAGCTAGTGGAACTTCCACTAAGACACCCACAGCTTTTCAAATCTATTGGTGTGAAGCCACCAAAAGGAATTTTGTTGTATGGCCCTCCAGGTTCTGGGAAGACATTGATAGCTAGGGCTGTTGCTAATGAGACTGGTGCTTTCTTCTTCTGTATTAATGGTCCAGAAATTATGTCAAAATTAGCTGGAGAGAGTGAAAGTAATCTCAGGAAGGCATTTGAAGAAGCTGAAAAGAATGCACCCTCTATTATCTTTATTGATGAAATTGATTCCATAGCTCCAAAACGAGAGAAAACAAATGGAGAAGTGGAACGGCGGATTGTTTCTCAGCTCTTGACACTTATGGATGGATTGAAGTCCCGTGCTCATGTTATTGTTATTGGGGCTACAAATCGGCCTAACAGCATTGACCCAGCTTTGAGAAGGTTTGGAAGGTTCGATAGGGAAATTGATATTGGGGTTCCAGATGAAGTTGGACGATTAGAGGTTCTTCGTATTCACACAAAGAACATGAAACTCTCTGAAGATGTAWGCCAATGACTAAACCTTGTATCTGCTTGAGTATGTATCTTTCCTTGTTCATATCTGTCAGCGGTTCTATTTAGTTATTGTTATGGTTCCTCCGTGCAGGTTGATTTGGAAAGGATTGCCAAGGATACACACGGATATGTTGGTGCTGACCTTGCAGCTCTGTGCACTGAAGCTGCTCTTCAGTGCATCAGAGAAAAGATGGATGTGATCGATTTGGAAGATGAATCAATAGATGCTGAGATTCTCAACTCAATGGCTGTTACAGATGAGCACTTCAAGACTGCTCTTGGATCAAGCAATCCCTCAGCTCTTCGTGAAACAGTGAGTACAGAGTTTCTAAATGACTTGGGATTTCTGCTTTGAGGTATATATTCTTCTTTCAGATTGTTTTTGGAAGTACCTTAACCTGATTGTTTGATGGGCAGGTTGTTGAAGTACCTAATGTCAGCTGGGACGACATTGGTGGCCTTGAAAATGTCAAGAGGGAGCTCCAAGAGGTAGCGATAAGTCAAATAGCAGGCCTACATTTGTTTCCTTTTGCAATTGCACTCTAGGGTTCTTATTTATACTTTGTTTTTTTTTTTTTAATGTTCTATTTGTTTTGCAGACCGTTCAATATCCTGTGGAGCATCCTGAGAAGTTTGAGAAGTTTGGTATGTCTCCTTCCAAAGGAGTCCTTTTCTATGGTCCCCCTGGTTGTGGGAAAACACTTCTTGCCAAAGCAATTGCAAATGAATGCCAAGCAAACTTCATCAGTGTCAAGGGTCCTGAGTTGCTCACAATGTGGTTTGGGGAGAGTGAGGCCAATGTACGAGAGATCTTTGACAAGGCTCGTCAATCTGCACCCTGTGTCCTCTTTTTTGATGAGCTCGATTCAATTGCTACACAGGTTAGGGTTTCCCTCACTAAATGTCCTTGATTTGTTATGCTTTGTTTAGGCTCGTTTCCTAATTCTTTGATTATAACTGGCAGAGGGGAAGCAGTGTTGGGGATGCAGGAGGTGCTGCTGATAGGGTTCTGAACCAACTTCTGACCGAAATGGATGGCATGTCAGCAAAGAAAACAGTCTTCATAATTGGTGCCACCAACAGGCCTGATATTATTGATCCTGCACTCCTCAGGCCAGGTCGTCTTGACMAGTTGATCTACATCCCTCTGCCTGATGAGACCTCTCGCCACCAGATTTTCAAGGCCTGTCTGAGAAAATCACCTGTTTCAAAAGATGTGGACTTGAAGGMTCTTGCGAAGTACACACAAGGTTTTAGTGGAGCTGATATTACAGAGATATGCCAGCGGGCATGCAAGTATGCCATTAGAGAGAACATTGAGAAAGTAAGCTCATTCATCACTCTGCATGTATGTGCACATGGATTTTTGTTTGACAAAGGCATGCTCAAATTTGCAATTTGGATGGCCTTTCATGATGTCAATCCCTTATAGTCTCTATAGAAGGGTTTCAAATGGGGCTCTATTCCAATCCAGATTGATAATAATACTCCTATCTGTAACTCAAATGGGTTTTATTCATGCAGGATATAGAAAGGGAGAGGAGGAGAAGGGAGAACCCTGAGGCAATGGAAGAGGACGTGGAGGATGAAGTGGCAGAGATCAAGGCAGCTCACTTTGAGGAGTCAATGAAATATGCACGCAGGAGTGTAAGTGATGCTGATATCCGCAAGTATCAGGCATTTGCTCAGACATTGCAGCAATCAAGGGGTTTTGGCAGTGAGTTCCGTTTTTCGGAAGCTGGAACTGGTGGTGCTACTGGGTCTGACCCATTTGCAGCTTCTGCTGGTGGTGGGGCTGATGACGACGATCTTTACAGTTAGATACTCACACTCTGTTTCATTTACAAGTTCAATTACTCAAACGTTATGTATACCTGTTGTTTCCCTGGAATCTGAAGGATGGTTGATGGGAGGTGGTAAAGCTTTTATTGGATGGTTAGGTTAGATTGGGCATTGGGTGATGATGTAGGCTCCAGTTTAATACTTTTTATTTTGTTATTTTTATTTAAGAGGAACAACCATGTAGGCTCCAGTTTAATACTTTTTATTTTGTTATTTTTATATTTTTATTTAAGAGGAACAACCATGTAGACGAGGGAATTCAGATTTCAGAACGGCCATTTCATTAAGGGGTCCATCTTCTATCCCGAATTCAATCAACATTCTCGCCTCAGAAAAAAAATTATTTGGTATATATTTCTTTTAATTTTCTGGTAAAATTAGCTGTTATCTTTTTCCTTCCCTTTCGAGTGACAACGGTGGTGTTTCAGAGTTGTAATGGTTGTTTTCTTCTTCCTCCCTTTTATCATCATCAATTATTCTGTTCATTTTTCTTTTCTTTACTGTTGTAAACACCCCCTAACAGTGGTACGTACATTTGAAGTTTTTATTTTAGGGACGTGGTTGCTGATGATGATCTTTTTTTTCTTTTTCTTTTTCTTTTTTTTTTTTTATTTCCTTTTGGTAGTGATTATGAGATTTTCCTCATTGATTGAATTACTCTTTGTTTGCGCCTATTTTCTCATTGTAAAAGTCTTGCAAAATGTTGCAATTAATTTCTTACGAGCAAGGTTCACAATATCAATACATATTGGCCCGAGTGTACCGGGGTTTTGACCGATTCAGGAGGTTGATGTACCTTCAACCGATAATATGCTTCTTCCGGCATATCGATGTTTTGAACCTTGCTTACTAGTGTTCTTTTGTAAAAAACTAAAAATTGATTTCTTCCCATTTCCTTGTTAGGGGTGCATGCCGGGAAGATAGAGAGAGAGGGGCAGGCTGTTGCCTATGGGGAAGAAAATAACAACAGGAGAGGAAAGAGGAAGGGAGATGAAGGGTAAAAATGGGGTTATGAGAAAAAGCTAATAGGCATGTGAAGTCACCCTAAATGTTTTATGTGTGACATGTACAACATAGATTGATATCGATACCATTAATTAGGCATCAATACATATATTTTCGATGTGTATGTTACTATGTTATACATAAGTCACATTTAATAATAATCAAAAGAAATTTTATAATTAATTTATACAAATAAGGCATTGTAAAATAATTAAATATAATAAAATTATAAAAAATCATTAAAGCGAATAAAAAATAATTTAAGCAAATCTAATATATCAAAATAATTATTAATTATTAATATATATATATATATATATAAAAGAATATTCTAATAGATTTAATAAAAAATAAATCATATAAGCCCCCACCCCTACCGACATATCAACATATATTGAAGCTCACCCACCCTTTTTTTTTCTTTGAAACTGGTTAGAGGGGTCGATCTAAAGTTGGTCTACCCCCTGAACTAGGTCACACTCCAATATGACCTTTATAGGGGCGTATCATTAAGCCCCCGATAGGTACCCTGTACTTTAGGCTGAATGCCAATTTAGTACCCGAATTTTAAAATGCGACAATCTAGTATCCAAACTTTCATTTTGCAACAATTTAGTACCCGACGTTAACTCATCGTCAGTCAGTACTATCATGTGATATTCGGTGTGGGTTAAATAGTTTTGAAATACCAAAACAAACCTTTATGAAAAATTTAGACCACTTTACCCTTTTCCCTTCCTATTTCCCTAATCCCCTTTTCTCTTCAATCTAGGTTGAAAGAACGAGAGAAGAGAGGAGACTTCACTCAACTCCCCTTTAGTCTTCAATCTAGGTTGAATGAACGAGAGAGGAGAGGAGACTTCACTCAACTCCGACCTTTCTCTTCATTTCGAGCACGCCCATTTCATCCATTTTTCTTCAAATTTGGTTGAATAAACAACAAAGGAGAGGAGACTCGGTTGTTCACGTGCATCCCCTAAAGGATGTATCAAACCATGTCTCCTCTCTTCTCTCTTCAAACTCGGTTGTTCACAATCAACATGCCTGAGGAAACTATTGTTGCTTAATGGAAGAAGAAGAAGAAGACGAATCAGGAAATTCGATACACATGGAAGTAGAAGCAGAGCTGGCAACTGAGCTACTAGCACTCGCAGTTGCTGTTATGGTTGTTGAGAGCATCAATCTATACTCCTCCTCCATCCTCTCCAACATCCCCTTCGACAATACTTCCATCTTCCTCCTCAGATTCTCCACCTGCAAGGAATTCTTTCTTATCAAAATCAATAAATTAATTCAAATCAAGTATTTATCATTAATGGAGATCGACCATAGAGTACATTAAGAACAAAAAGCTGCTTACTTGAAGCATTGCAAATGGAAATGAATAGAAGAATAATCAACTAGTGTAGAAGGAGAACTGATAAGAAAAACAAAGTTAGACAAAGGAAGCTGTTTAGAATTAATAATGAATCTTACATCTACGAACCAAGACTTTCTATCTGAAACAAAGCACTCCTTGGTCCTACAATTCTTACTGATCATCAAACTGGCTTCTGCAATTTCTTGAATCTCCTTCACACATTCTTCCTCCGGTATTCATCTAGTTTTTCTAGTTGTCTTTGAAGAACTGCTTCTTGCTTATAGAAATTAATACACTTGTGGAACTCGAAATTCTTAATGCATGAGCTTCTCTGGAGCTCTTCCAGTTTCTCCTTCAGATCTTTGATTTCCTCTTCCAACATAACACTGACGTTTTTTCCTTCATACAACTTCTTTTTTCCTATGAAAGAAAGAAGCCAATCAAAAACATTGGAAATGGATTCAATCGAGGTAGAAAATAAGTGCAAGATTTAAACAATGAGATACAAACAACGATGAGAAAAAAGGCGAAAAGAGATCAATGATTCTACTGCAGATCGAAGTGTATGCTCCATCTAAACGCGATTCTTCTCCATCTTTTTCAACGCAACCTCTCTTTTGTTTCTCATAAAATTACACTTCTCGTCTTCAAAGTCCCTACTACATCTCCGACTATCCATCATCTCTGTATACTCGAAGTCATCAACTCTTTCTCTCGTCTCATGATATCCAATGTTCAAGAGAACAATAGGAACAATGGGATAGAAAGCTTGCTCTTGATCAAGCAGATTTTCAAGTGTTCCATACTTGTTAAGGTGAGAATCTGATTCCTTAATGCTGATCGATTTTTCCTTTGAGTTGTCTAGTGGTAGCTCTCCAGTGAGTTCTTCTGGGTAGGTGGAGGATTGTAGAGCTAGGAGGTGACGGAGGATGCCATTTTAGTCTCCGTGTTCTTGACATTTTCCTTCTCGCAGTTGTTCATGTGCAGCCCCTGAACGAGAGAAGATAGGAGACTTTTCTGAACTCCCCTTTAGAGTTCAATCTGGGTTGAACGAACGAGAGAGAGAGGAGACTTCACTCAACTCCGACCTTTCTCTTCATTTCAAGCATGCCCATTCCATCCCTTTCTCTTCAAACTCGGTTGAAGAAATGACTGAGGTGACACAACAAGAGTCGTCTTCTTCGGTAACAGCTGAATAAAAAAGAAGACACAACAATGTTCCAATGACGACAACAAGAGTTGTCGTCTCTGGCAACGGCACTTGTTTCTTCGATTTCAACTTTTCTGGCATCGCGTTCAAGTGTCAATTTCAACTTTTTCGGCAGTGCATTCGCTTGACATCATCGGCATGAGGAGCTGGTTTTTGGAATCTCAAGTAACTACAAGTGTAAACAGTGGTTCCCATGCATTGGTTGAAATATCTAATGGGTAATTAAGTCTTTTTGTCTTCTAACTGACAGTGAGTTGATGTCGTGTACTAAATCGTCACAAAATGAAAGTTTGGGTACTAGATTGTCGCGTTTTAAAGTTCGGGTACTAAATTGACACTTGGCCTAAAGTACAAGCTTCCTATTCTAAGAATTGATTGCAGCTCAACTCAAAAGTACAACATTAACTTGAACAAAGAACAATTATACATGATGATAAATTAGTTACAGTAACCAGACAATGACCACTAACCGTAAAGTAACTATTATCTAGATATTAACTAAATGCTGAGGTGGAAAACTGAAAGAAGATTAAATGCCTTGTTGGTCATCTGTGCTATTACGTCCCCTTAAATTGAGCTCTCCATTAGAACCCATAATTTGGAGCGAAAATGAGTGCGGGGAAGCACTTTAGTGAGAATATTTGAAAGTTGATCTTTAGTAGAAATATATTTGACATCCAAATTATGACTGGCCACCTTGTCACGAACAAAATGAAAATCCACTTCTAAATGTTCGGTTATGGAGTGGAAGATAGGTTTAGTAGTCAGGTGGGGGGCTCCTACATTATCACACCACAAAATGGGAGGTGTGGGGATTGAATCCATGTTAATTCAGCTGCTGCGGTGGCAAGAGAGTGGTATTCCGCTCCAGTAGAAGATTTGGCAATAATGCGTTGCTTACGAGAAGCCTAGGAAAAATGATTGAGCCCGATAAAGATAGCGTAACCACTAGTGGATTTGTGATCATCAAGGTTTCCACCCCAATCCACATCCGAATAAGCAGAGAGTTGGAGAGTAGAGGAAGGTTGAAACTAAAGCCCAAATGTCAAGGTGGAGTTAAGATAGCGAAGCAACCTTTTTTATGGCAGTCCAATGTTCTATAGTGGTCTATGCATGAATTGTGAGTCCCGATTAACTACAAAGGCAATATCGGGACAAGTAACTGTTAAGTATTGCAACATACAACAATGCTCCTGAAAGTAGATGGATCTAGAAGAGCAGAACCATATGTAGATGAAAGTGTAGTTGATGGAGACATGGGTGTTGATACTCCCTTGGATTCTAGCATCTTAGATTGCATAAGAATATCCAAGATGTATTTATGTTGATGAAGAAGAATACCTTTGGAGTTGTATGAGACTTCAACACCAAGAAAATAATGTAAATTGCCCAAGTCACCTAAAAGAAAGGTGGATGCTAATGAGTTAATGAGATTTTGGACTGCATCATTGTTATTGCCAACAACTAGTAAATCATTTACTAGAAAATAAATGATGAGATTGTCATTTCGGTAAATGAATAAGGAAGAATTGGTTTTGGAGCCAATAAATCCCAGTCCAAGAAAGAAGCCACTGAGGTGTTGAAACCAAGCTCGGGGGGCTTGTTTCAAACCATACAATGAGCGTTTGAGGAGGCATACATGAGATGGGTTATGAGAACCAACCAATCCCGGGGGTTGTGTCATAAAAACCTCTTCCTCTAAATATCCATGTAAGAAAGCATTGGAAATGTCTAACTGTCGAATTTTCCAATGAGAAGAAATGGCAAGTGGGAGAATTAATCAATTGGTTGTAGGTTTCACAACGGGGCTAAAAGTTTCTTTGAAATCAACTCCAGCACGTTGGTGAAAGCCCTTAGCCAGCAAGCGTGCTTTGTAGCATTCAACACTCCCATTAGGGTGACGTTTAATTTTGAAGACCCAACGACAATCAACCACATTCTGCCTGGGGCATGGTGGAACTAAGACCC